TCGACACATGTGCCTACAGTGTGGGCCATCGATCAGTATCGAATCTACAAGGATGTAAGTACATAAATTCATAGAAGTTTAAAAAAAAAAATGTACCTTCTTATTTTAGTTAAAAAACAGTAGACCGTAATATTAGCTATAAATTTTTTATTAAACTTTTTGAAACGCGATTGCAACATGTATGTATAGGTAAAATAATTGAAATGTTGTTAAATATTGTCTGCTTAACACCGATAACACTGTAGGGGAAATCTCAAGTTTTGAAGTGACATAAACAAAAACGCCAAAACACGTGAACTTAACTTTGAATCGTAGATTATGAATCTGTATTCTGTTTTTCTTGATCAGGGGGAGATTCTGTAGCCAGTTAGCGACAATTTTCGGATCGCTATCGCACTTTTTGGACGCATAATATGAATATTTTTACGTCAAAAAGTGCGATAACGATTCGAAAATTGTTGCTAACTGGTTAGAGAATCTAACCCCCCCCAAGCATTTTCCCATGATACTTAAATTTGTTTAAAAAAAATGTTAACAGGGAAAAACTTACAAAATAACAGACTGTTTTTCTAAATTTGTTTTCATTTGTATTAAATCCTGTTCTTTTATAAAAAAAAAATCATGTTACTAATGAATCGATGGATAAATAAAAAAGTTATGAATGGTCATAGAAAAATGCGTATTTTTTTTTTGATGAAATATGAGCAGGAAAAAATGTTACTCATACGCCACGTATGGCCATGTAAAAGTTGGTTTTTTTCCATGTTAAAGTTTGATTTGTTTTCATTTATAATGCAAGCTTAAAATAGTAAAATGGTATACAGAGAGAAAGAAAATAACTGATTTTTACCTACCTGCGAATCCATGCAACAATTAATCAAAAAAGAGGTGAACAGCTAATTTCTACCTGAGGATGTACACACAGAACTGAAACTACTGGTTGAACGAAAGAATATATGTAATCCGCTGAGACGTACCTAACTATGAACCAACGACGATTTAACACGGCTATAAATAGTGACGGACAAACAGAAACTATTCAGAACGAAAAATGACACTGAAGATGGCACAACGCCGAAACCGGTTTGTCTCCAAACCAAATTTGACAAGGGATGACGGATAATCGTTCCACATTACATCTTACTAAATAAGTTCAAATCTCGTGCATTAAAAGCAGCACAAGGGGGTACCTTGTTCATTTCGGACCCATCTGTACAAATGCACCGAGTCGGCCATCATCATGCCCGCCAGCCTTCGACGTAGTCTCTTCGTTAATAAATTGTTGATGCTGTACATACATATATCGTCGTTTAAAGTACAAAACTGCGTATCAACAAAATGCAAAACCGCGATATATCGTCTGTGTTCATACGCTATATCGAAAAGTACGTTGTATCGAACTCAAATTTTATTATGAGAATTCAATAAAATCAGTATATATATTACACATGAGCCCCATATTCCAATTTTTCTTAATGTGGTTTTTTTTTACCTAATAACGTTTACGCGACGGGGGTATTTTTCCAGTTCAATAAACGCGACCACTTGTAAGAAGTTATTCTTTTGAACTGATCGTAATTCCGCGTACGCAAAAGTCATGCAAAATCATGTCATTCAAGCACACTAAATAAACAAGCGTTCGTTATGTAGAATGCTCCCTTTTTCAACCGTTCGTTATTTAGAGTAATCAATACATTTATAAAAGGCATTCGTTATTTGGAGCGTACGTTATACTGGACGACCACTGTATTTTCTGGAGAGTAAAAACACTCATATTTCAAAATGGTTCTCTTTTTTATAAAGCAATCGCATTTCTGGCTAGTATATTTCAGGACGAATGGATAAGGATTGAGCCAAGAGCTTGTGTGAGCAAATCCAATTTTTGGCAGCAATTGTCAGTTACGCGGTTTTGTACTTTAAACGAAGATATACTACTTTGACCGAAAAGTTTGCACAAAAACTGCCGCGTGGCATTAAGCCTATTAACATTTTTGAACTACATACATATGCATATAAATACATATTCGTATCTATCAAATCCGCCGGTGGAAAATGCAGCAGTGTGATGCTAATCATAGAAAATACAAATATATACACTCTGTACTTCTGGGGAAAGGTCTTCTTATTCATTACTGTCCACCAGATCAGAATGTCATTGTCCAGATGATTTCTGCGAAGATTCAATAGGTGATAGACCCCAGGTGCAGGCCAGCATATTTTTGCATTCATAGCGCGCAGCCGCGGCGTTCTTCGCACTCTACTTTATGTTGACCGGAATCTTGTACATATTTCCTAGTAAAGAGTACTAGGTCTGTTTTCCCCGTGTTTATGCTAAAAGGTCTAACTAAATTTAATAGTACTTGGGTCATGAGTGGGTTAAGTCTTGGATAGACACGCATAGGCTGTAAGTTTAGCATGACCTCCTTTCATTTTCTTGAGTATCTTGTTTTCCAGCGTGTCGCCAGAGTAATGGCGATAGTACGACATTCCTTAACATTTGGTATGCAAATCTATTAACCTCTCAAGAGCCTTCATTGAAAGCCTTAAATTATAATTTTATTGCCCAATCACAGTAATAAGTTATTGATTATTGATTATGGACAACGTTTTAAACACCACTTATGCTTCTATAGGTGCTTGAGCGGTCCTGGGAGGTAGTGGATGGCGTAAATGTCTCGTTACGACTCTGGGATACATTTGGTGATCATGACAAGGACCGAAGATTCGCTTATGGACGGTAAGTAGTTGACTAACATGAGAAAAGTATTTCAGTAATTTTGGTGCAATAAAAACTGTTCGCACACTTCACTTCACTTTCCCACTACAGGTCAGATGTCGTACTGCTATGCTTCTCCATTGCCAGCCCAATATCGTTGCGCAATTGCAAGGCTATGTGGTATCCGGAAATACGCCGTTTCTGTCCAGACGTACCCGTCATATTGGTAGGATGTAAAAATGATTTACGTTATATGTATCGCGACGAAACATATTTATCGTACTTTGGCGAGCGAAGCACCTTCGTGCGGTAAATTGATAAATATTTTATTGGAAATGTTTTAGCTAAACTATTTATTTACAATATCTTCGCAAACTTCTCGTTAACATATAACAGTGCTGCGCTGAAAAGTGACCTCGTCATGCCCGATGAGGCGCGTGCCGTTGCCAAGGAGCTGGGTGTAGCCTATTACGAGACCAGCGTCTTCACCTACTTCGGTGTGAATGAAGTATTCGAAAATGCCATACGTTCGGCGTTGATTGCGCGCCGACAGCAACGTTTCTGGATGACAAATTTGAAAAAAGTACAAAAACCGTTGCTGCAGGCACCATTCCGACCGCCCAAACCGCCACCACCAGAAGTCACCGTTGTGGTGGGCAATTACAGACAAGACATGTATAACATGTTAATTTCACAAACACACACGGATCTCATACTGGTGGTGGGTACGAGTAAATTTCCGGTACATCGGTTTATGTTGGCGGCTGCGTCGAACGTCTTCTATAGGCTATTGAATACGGAATTAACGGATATGGGTGGTAGGAGTAGTAGTGAATCGAGTATGGTGAGTATAAAATAGTATTCTATTTTTATTTTTCTTTTTGCTATTTTTTAATTATATTCATTTGTAAGAGAAGGAGTAGTTTGAGAAAACGGCAGCAGATTTGTTTTGGTGTGAACAACAATTTTAGTTTTTTTTTGGCTTTACGCAACAAACAACAGGAGCAGCTCGCGAATTAAATAGGCTTTATTTGGTGCGAAAAACATGTTAAATACAGTATATGGTATTGCTGAGTGAGGATGAAAGCAGTTCGAAAAATTAGGAATAGTTTACTTAGCGTTTGTATTAACATTGTGGTGTTCTGTAAGGGTGGGAACAGTTTATCCTGTGTGCTTAAGCATTTTTTATGGAATAATAGTTAATAAATACGTTGGTGTTTTGGAAGGAGCAGTTTGTAGATTGGGAACAGTTTCAAGACTAGGGACAGTTAAATCGAAGTATTCGGATTTTTGTTATTTGATGTTTATACACACTACATGAAAATAAAACAAATTTATTCCTACAGGTGAGTTCTACCTTCGGCGAAGCTACCACAGCGGATTTCAATGATGATACTGAGTGCTTGATAAGGCATGAATCGCGAACACAGAGGTAAGAGTTTTTTGGTAGCCAAATAATTGAGTTTTGAGAATGTACTAAAAGCCAGGGACGTGGACTGGTTTTGATCTGAACCGGTTTTGAGCCGAATTAACCGCTATTTTCGACTAATTAACTGAACCATTGACCGGAACGGAAATTTTCCACAAATGTTTGATCCAAACCGAAAACCGAACCATTTTTTTACAAAGTTCATTCGCCCAATTTTTAAAAGACAACTTTGTCCCCACTTCTTTAGTTTTTGCTCTTGTTAAGTATGAAGATATTCGATTATTCAATCTAAACTCATTATTGTAAAGCAAATTTTTTTTATCAAATAAGATTTTTTTATTGCTTACCGCGAATGGCATAGGGAATTATGTATGTACATGTCTTCATATGTATATATTATTGGATTCTTACTGAATAAAATTAACACAAATGTACATGTTGTTTTTTTAATTTCCGAGCTGTTGAACCGAATCGAATACCCGATTCAAAGACAAAACATCTCTTTTTACGAGCCAATTCAAAGGCGCGAAATCGGGTCGAACTGTTGAAGCGAATTGAACAAATTTTTATCCAGTTTACGTTCATATTAAAACCTTTTTATCTCTTCTCGCCACAGAATGTGGGAACAGCTGAAGCGTCGCTCAAGCTATCAGGCCTTACCGCTAATCGAAACCAAAAAGCCCAGTGATCTCTATAAGGACCTGCATCATCCCATTTTCCAAAATATACGCTTAATACAGATGGAAAATACGCGTGGCATTAATGTAACACAAACAATTGTCACATTAACCAAGCTGGTAACACCGCCAGCGCTGCAACAGTGTCTGCAATTCATCTATACCGGCACAATTGAAAGGGAATTTCACAATTTGCAGGTGTGTGCATGAATAAATAATTGTTGTTGTTGTTGTTGAACTTAATTATTTTCCTTTTATGCTATGCAGGAAATTAAACAAGCTGCTGATTTCTTAGAACTGCCTCAATTGACTTTATTACTTTCCAAGCCACAAACACTTTTAGCCAGTCTAAACGATGAACCCAATCAACATTTATGCTTTGTATGTATACATATGTATTTGAAGCGCTTTTATGTCGATAAAATATCAAACTGTTCTCTTTTTTAATGTAATTAGAGCATTAAAGAGAATATGGAGAAACATTGCATTGGCGATGGTTGCTTCAGCGATGTCACTTTCGAGTTGGACGATGGTCAAATGAAGGCACATCGCGCCATTTTAGTTGCACGCTGTGATGTTATGCGCGCCATGTTGGCTGGCGACTTTCGTGAGGCGCACTCAAGTGTGGTGAGTATGGGTGCATGTTAAAAAAAAAAACACACATCAAAAGAAGTTGAAGGTAAAAAAATATTATCCTTTTTTCAGATCGTCTTTCCCGGTGTCACGATTTATACATTTCATAAGTTGCTCTGCTATTTGTACACAGATGAAATACCTCCAATTTGCGCAGATAAATGCTTAAACCTTCTAGAATTGGCTAATCGTTTATGTTTGCCACGCCTATTGAATTTGGTGGAATGTCGTGTAATTGAAGACTTAACAATGATTTCGCAGAATGAAACAAATGAAACGGTCGATCATTGTCTTAAGCTGCTGGAGCCAGTGAAGGTGAGAAGAAAAACTAATATTGAGTTAGGCTATGTCTCCATTGCGAGATTTAATGAAGATTTAGCCCTCTGACGAGATTTAACGTTAAATCTTTCGAGATTTGTCATATAAAATTAAATCTCGAAAGGCAGTAGATTTAAGTTAAAACTTAGTTAAATCTTCAATAATATTGACCAATAAATATAATTTGTTAGGTGTGGCATCCACATATTCATATGCCATAAGTCAAATGACATTTGTATTTTCAATATACAGTTGCGGACATTGAAATCCAGCCGATTAAAAAAACATGCATTTTCGTATTCTTAGGGCTGTTTTTTATATTTTGGTTAGTTTTAAATCCAAATTATTAGTATTTACATAACTTTTGTTTTAATAAATCAAGAATATATTATTTTAAAAACCAAAAATTCAGAAAATATGTTTTATGATAATATAATGCAGAGTCTTCTTCGCTTCCTATAAATCTTTTACGCGCTACGACATAAAATTTAGAAAATTCAGAAAATGGTTCTGCTTCGATAACATTGCACAAAAAAACCTCTAGAACTCAATTCGACTCAAGAAATGCATTGGCAGTCATTTTTGCTAGCTAGGTCTTCATGATATGCCAAAGGCCTACGATTGGATTTTCGGCTTATGAAGAAGAGAGTTTATTTCCCCAAACCATTACCGAGTTTTAAAAATTTTTCTTTCAGCAAATGTTGCTATTTACCGTTTTGTGTGTATTTCAATGTCAAATTTGTTCAAATTTTTTTGATATCAAAACGATATCCCTATTCTAATAATCACGATTTCACTGTAGATGATTTAAAACTATGAAAAGTAGAAGATGATGTTGAAAGGCAACGTCTTAACTTACTAAATTCTAAAAATTGTAATTTTGTAATTCTAAATAAATTGTAATTTTGTAGTTGTCTTAGGATACAGTTGGGTATTCTTTTTGTAAGAAACCCTCAAGAAGACCTCAAATTTACTCACAAAATTCGCCCAAAAACTATATTTTTGCCCATTATTTATTTGGGATCAAAGCACTGTGCGTCCAAAGAAGAAGCTCAATAAAGCTCATTGAAAGGGTAATTAGAGGTCAAAATGTTCGACAAAAAAAAAATTGAGTGTAAAATTTTCCTAGAGCTCACTGAAGGCGGAAAAATCCAATGGTTAAGGCTGAACCCACACCGAAGTCGACAAAACGTTTTTTTTTTTTGACGACCGACAAGAAAACATTTTTTTCTATCCCATTTGTGTCGTGTTACGACCAAGGTGTGATGGACAACTCAGCGCGTCTTTGTAAATAAACGATTCAAAATTCATACACTTCAATTTGACTTAATAGGATGGTTCTTATGAGAGCAATGTCAAATTTACTCACACTTTGTTAAATACATTTTGGTTACGACTCATTTGGTATGGATTGAATAATAAGAAGTTGGTAATATACTCTTGCTCTATACGCCACCACCAAACGTTTTGTCGTCTTCGGTGTGGATTCAGCCTAAAAGTGACTACGCTACATAGCTTTATCGAAATTTTCCTCACTGACATTTTCTAACTTTGCCCTCTCCCCCCTTCCCATTTTAGCTACACAACGCTCACCAATTGGCCGAATGGTGTATGTCATATCTGTGTGTCAATTACAATATAATTTGTAAATTCTCGCTCAAAGGCCTCAAAGCACTGCATCAGGATAATCAAGAATACCTGCGTGAACATCGTTGGCCACCAGTGTGGTATTTAAAGGATTATGATTACTATCAACGCTGCATAAATGAAATGAATAAAGAGCTAAAGAATTCACGGCGCGATTCGCGTAGTGATGATGAAGGTTGCCTCTGCTTTACTGGGGGTAAGTGTTCAAGCAATGTTTCAAACAACAACAATTTTACTTGACTGAGCAATTAACAAACGACGACAACGTCGACGACGACAACAACAACTGGAAATTGACTTTTGGCAAACAACTAAAGTGAAATGCTGTGTCAGTAAAAAGTGTGCAGAATTAAAAAAAAAAACAACAAATAACAAGTAATTTTTAAGCAAGAATACAACCGACTTCAATGCTTATGTAAAACTTAATTTCTTCATGACACAAGGATTGGAACTAAACCTAATTATTATGGGACCATCCTTGAGGTACCATCTTTCCGTTAAAAAAAAAAACAAACAAAAAATCGAAAACGGTTCAAGTGGTCTAAAGTTATCCGGTAACATACATAAAAAAATATAAAAATATTCCGACGAATTGATAAGCTTCCTCCTTCTTTTTTTGAAGTCGGTTAAAAAGTATTAAATTTTTTAAATATATGTATATACATATGTACATATGTGTTTTTAGCAGTGATTTACGTCTGTATATATGTATGTATAACAGGCTTTCAAAAAGCGCGTACAATAGCTTTAATTATCGAAAAAAATTTATGAAATTATATTTTTGATTATCTACATACATAATTTCATACTGCATTTGCAGGTTATATCTACAGTTTTTTATTTTTCTACTTGCATACTCGTGTAGCTTGGGTTTGTATTTGCCATATGCCACATACATACCTACTTACATAGTTCAGTCATCAAAAAAGATCCTCCAATAACACACAGAAAAAAAAATGTACAAAACAGAAATCTTAGCTGTAAATGAAAGCACATTTTCCAATCAATTCGAAACTGCTCCGCCTACAAATGTACATCCTTACACACATAGATGCCTTGTGAGCCTACTTTGTTACTCACTACATTTCCTATTTCTTATACCATATTTTTACCTTCCTTTTATTAGCTCGGGATGTAACTATGTAATATTGATGCGCCTAAAAGATGCAGCGTTTTCTATTCTCAAGTTACATACCTGATGACAGTACGAATGGCAATTATAATAGGGAAGTTTTAGTTTTTTAAACTATAATTTTATTTGTATATATTTTAAATTCGTTGCCTGATGTTTTTTTTATTATCAAAGAGACTACGATCCCTATAGGGATCAATATCATTATATCGAAACTTTAAAAATGTTTCACACCCTTCCTTGAAGACCAAAACAAGTTTTAAATGTCAATTCAACGTTCAACCACATTTTTCTTATAGCATAGACAGACGGCAACGTTAGTCCGGATTAACGGCGCAATTGATCTGATTAAAATTGTATTCTAACAGACGGCAGTATTGCGGACTAAGTGAGCTGCGAGGACAGAAAATACATAAAACAAAACATATAATAAAAAAAAAAATAGAATAAAAAACAAAAATGATTTTTAAAAATTACTCGGAGGCTCTAGTCCGCACCTTCCTGACACATTATTAGCCCGCCAGCCAACCAGCCACCAGCTCAAGATCAACGGATTCAAAACAGTAAACAGAGAATTGTAGTCTAAGAGTGAAAACAGGGTGCATCGTCGTTAATATAAGGTCTTTCTTTCGAGAAGCCTAGCTTTTCCACCTACAGGCCCTTTTAGCCCTGTCAAAATGTTTCTCGTCGCGTCTAGCGGTATCAGGGTCTCACTGAGTGATACAAGCACTTTCAGTGTTCAAAAACAGAAAAAGAGAAAATGCGACTCCTCATTGCACACTACGGTATTGCATAAAGAGTGGCTAGGCACTAGACCGTAACACTTTACAAGCAAACAAAAAAGTTCGGCGTTCAGTCTAAAGTATTTTTGCAAGGCAATTTCAACAAAATATATATCGCCGAGCCCAGGGTTGGCCTTTTTACCTTTACCGGTGACAATATTTGTTTTTTAATAGTTCTACTGAAATAATCAAAATACTCCCTGAGCAAAAATGTAATTGTTTTGGAGAGTTTTAATTTATTGACATTAGGGTGGTACGTTAGTGTGATAGGAACTACTACACCGGGATACCTGAGGCCAATGAACTTTGAAACTAAAAAAAAATGTCTCAACGCAAGAACATCGATATATCATACTTTAAAATCCGACTGTAAATGCCGAAGATATGACTAAAAATATCAAAAAGGCCACCCCTACGTTCGGCTAAAAAACAAATGAGTGCGAAATTTCAAAAAAAAAAAAATTATTTTTGAATATTTTATTGAAAATATCCTGGAATGAGATAGATGATAGATTTCATCAATTAATGAAGGTCGTGCCTTATTCGGATTTTGTACCATTAGACCCTCCTGCTTTTTTGTTTTATTTTAATAGTTTATTGCATTTTACTTTTTTATTTTATTGCATTTTGCTTATATTTTAGTTCTACTTTTATGAGTTTTGCTAGTTTTTTCTACTTATTTACTAACTTTTGTTTGCCAAACAGTTTTCTTTCTTTAAAATTTCAATTCATGCCCAGCTTCATCAAAAAAAAAAATGTCAAGCTTGAATCTAACAGCTTGCGTCACTGTGCAACTCCCACAAACCAAGACCCATTACGCTAAATTCTCAATTACAAACCTACATACATACCCGACATACTTAGCTCCTTAACACACTCATACAACAAAATACACACACACCCTGCTCCTGCAAATCATGCACTGTTTTATTAATATTGAAATTTGGACAAAGTATTCTCTTGGCTATTAGGCAGCAGCAGCGCTGGTAAATCAAAGCGTGGCAACGATCCCAATGGCAATGGTGGTGGTGGTACCAACGAGCATAGCACAACAGATAATCAAATTTTCAATAGCACAGCGAATTCAATGAATCACATTGACCTCGAGGCGGCTGAGGTAGATTTGAATCTCTGACATCCAGCCATCGGGCAAAGAAGGTAGGTGATTTAAATTGATCAAAAAAAAATCAATATTATTTCCTTATAATTACTTCGTATATCTGCATTCCAGATCACTGCGTTTCATAGTGATTTTGCCCGTGCTGATTTGTTTCATTTGTACAATTTTAAGTATTTTAATACTTTTTCAAATTTATACATAACAATACCAAAATTGTTATAGCCAGCATGCTGAAAATGCTTACGACGGCCTTATAAGGCACAAAAGTCAGCAGCAAGAGCAACGGCAACAGCAACAACAACACGAACGCGAGCAATTCGTCAGCGTGCAAGAAGCAGCGGAACAGCAGTTAGAAAATACAAACCTGGCAGCAGAAAGTGGCAAGATCCAAGTAAAAGGAACTATTTAAAACAAAACTAACAGCACTAATTAAAAATTAACAACATCTTAAATGCTCAGTTAAAAAATCAATAAAACCAAATCAACCCAAGACACGCAGTTTTACGAATCTCTCAAATTTTTGATTACATCCACGCTGTCAAAACAATTTTCACAAATTGTATGCAATATTAAATCAATTAACAAAAAACACCAGCAAAATGTATGAGCAATATAGTAAATGTCTACAAACAACAAATTATTAACAACACAAAAGCATAAGCGTACATATGTGCATACATATTTGCAAAACTTAAAATCAGCAATAGTTGAGAATTCTGAATGTACACCAGTAAAAATAGTAAAAAAAAACCGTAAACGGGGACAAAAAAAAATGGAATTTCGGATAAGCGCTAAAAATAGGGAAACTATTGTCTAGCCATTAGTCATATAAGCGATACACAAATATTTAAGCGGGCAAAGTAATACACACACACATAAATACAACATTCTTAGATGAAAACATATTGAGTAAAAACAAAAATGCGAATTATAATTGTAATGCATAGCGTAGAAATTGAAAATGGCAACAAACAATATTTCAAAAAAAAAAATAATAATTAAATCAGCTAATTAAGTATAGTGCCAGCTAGCCTACAATGAAGAAAAACGGAGCAATTCTTTACTTTAGATGCCATAAAATAGATAAAAAATAATAATTTATAAAAATACTCTTAGGGGTTTCCGTGGTTTTAAGCAAGGTCCGAAAATATCAAGATTTTTATTCTTAGATCTTTGCAAAATCGTAATTTTTTTTTTATTTTTATTTTTCCGATCAAGAATAATCGTTAAATTTTAATTGTATTTTTCCTGTCAAATTTAATTAGTCTGTTGTATTTTTTTCGATAAAAATAATCGTTATTTTGGATACTTATTTTTCATTCGTTTGACTACGTTCACGTTATGAAGAAAAAATATTAATTTGAAAATAACTCTTATAATATGATAAAAAAATAACTATCAAAAAACAGTCCAAAAATAACTATCATAAATTTGCCGAAAAAATAAAAATCATAAAACCAAATTTCAACTTTTATTTTTCCGGTAAAATTTAATCGATATTTGGTCATATTTTTTTGGTTTCGGATTCTTATTTTTCAATCATTTTTAACCGTTATAATGGAGACTCCGATTTTATATCCGATTGGATCGAAAAAAAAACTATTAAATCTATTCCAAAATCTGTCGAAAAAATAAAAATCATAAAATAACGGTTAAATTTGATCGGAAAATATAAATCTATATTTAACGGCTACTGACATTAAAATTTGGTATTCGAAAGGGCAATTGAAGCAAAAGGCTTAACACTGTAGGAAAACGGTTCGGCCATGCGCTTTTCAGAGTTTTTTTAAGATTAATACATTTTAAAAGTTTCACCAAGCCAATAATGTAAGGAAGCTAAAATGACACACAAAAAACGCCGAGACACGTAACCTTAATTTTGGGTCGTAGATTACGGATCTGCATAGCGTTCTTCTAGATCAAGTCATTTTCCCAAGATATTTTCATTTTAAGTCTGCTTTGCGAATAAAAAAAAAACCCCAGTCTGTAACATGGAAAATGTCACTCATACGCCATGTGCGAGTATGTTCGTGTACTGCCATGTACGATGTGGCGTATGAGTAACATTATTTCCTGGCCCCATTTCATACAAAAAATTATTGCACATTTTCATTCAACCATTCAAAACTAGTTTATTTATACATCGATTTTCATCGCTAATAGCTTGATTTTTAATACAAATTAAAAAAAAATACAAACGTTTTATTTTTTGTTAGTTTTTTCCTTGTTAAAGTTAGAATATTGTTTCATGAAAATGAAAATATCTTTGTATACAGATCCGAATCTAGGACCCAATCTTATTAATTTCACGTGTTTCGGCATTTTTTTGTATCATTTCAAATCTTGAGATTTTCCTTACAGTATAATGATATATATAATGTATGGAAATCTCGCGTCTGTAGCACAAAAATTTTAGTCGGAGAAAAAGCTGGCTTTATGCGCATAAAAAGATGACAATCTTTCAGGGCTTTTAATCCTTTCAATACCTGTGTCCAATATACTGGACGGACAAGTTATTTTTTGCTTAAAGCTCTTTTTTTCGTAAATAATCGCTTTTGCTGTTAAGAGAACAGTTGAACCGGTTCAGTTGTTCTTAGCAAAATAAGCTGGTTTAGCGGAAAACGAGAAAACGATGGAGTACCTCCTAGTAACACACAAAGAATCTTCGCATATTGGGACATACATCACTGAAAGTTAAATCATTGAAGTGTGTAGTAATGGGTTTTCTCTACCCAGAATCCAGCAGCATCACCACCAATAATGTTAGCCTAGAGGTGAAGAATAACTTTTGCAAATAAGTACTATTTTGGTCTCGGTAGGCAATTGAAATGTATATCCCTTTCTCGATCATGCCCGTCCTTTTCTATGGCACAGAAACAGGACGGATGTCAAACAAAGATGAGAAGGCTGGAAGGTCGAGCTGTACGATATTTAAAATGAAATGAACGTAGTCAAACGCATGAAAGCAATGAAAATACCAATCAAAGAAGAAAACCTGTTTACAATTCATACGAGAAACGGATCGGAGATAGGCAATCGATGGAGATTTATGTTCTCGTCTCAGACTGACAAATGGTTATAGTGCCAAAAAACAAGAAGAAGAAGAACATTTCTATCGCCAAAAACTTCTAACAATTACCCAACCCTCATACAGCCAATTTCATATTGCACCTTTCCTTTGTGACATTTGAAAATAAAGGTTTTCCATAGGGCTTTCGTCTGCCTAAAGAACTTTATTCATTGAGCAGGATTATAAGAGGACCAGGTAACATTCCCTGGAACCTGTTGCACATTTTTAGGTATACCTGCTGTGTATAGATTTTTTAAAGTCAATGTTTAGTGTTGCAACTCGTAGAACCCCACTACGCTGTAAATTAATGCGAATATGGAAATTAAACTAAGTATAGTCCTGTAAAAGAAAAAAATGAGTGTACAAAAGCTTCGATGAAGCTAATAACGTCTGCAAAGTTTGACAGGAAGTCCTATTGGGAAGTTAACTCTCGATTTTAAGAACAAAAATTTAAAGTAAACTTCTGTATTGATATTATTAACTCTCCACTATAAAAGCGGCCCTTAATCTCAAATTTTGGCTCTCTAGTTTAGTAGCGTACATATTTCAAGCAAAGGTGGGCATTATAATACCATTTGGAAATGTAAATATCTACTCTGAGAACTAAGCGGCAATCAGGACTCTTGCATGGCTTAACAGTTACCCTTCGGTAGAACATAAATTCAACAGTATAATTAAACCTTGCCTCGACCATTAAATTCTTCGAGGCCATAAGAAATTTTTTTAGATGAATCTCCTTTGACTTAAGGAGAAGAGTTGGGAATGCGGGGCGCTTAAGTATATCGTGTTTTTCAGCTGCTACAATACATATAGGCTGCATTTCCTTATTCATTCTGAACGTTTGGAATAAACTTTTTTTGGTTACTTATTCTTTACAACGTTCCTAATGATATGTTAACATATATTTCAAACGAATTCTGTTTATTTCGGCTGTGAAATGGGATTATTCGGAATGTATAAAGAAACGCAGCCATACTGAACGTTTTTAATCCATTTTAGTGCAACGCAGGTAATTCAATGTTCAGTTGGAAATTTATAGTGTGCGAAGTCTTCGATATGGAAACTCCTAATGAAAAATCAACAATAGTTATACCATGTATGTATAATATTACATAATTTTGTTAACATTTTCTCAGTAAAGGTTTAAGCACAAAAGCGAAATTGTCGGAACCTAGTCAATATGCCCAAAAAAAAAAAAATAATAATAATAATATACGCGAAAAAATTTTAATAAACAAAATATGTAATTTAATTATAGATACCTTGAAAATAGTAAAAGCAAATAACTATGAAAAAAAAATGTTTTAAAATTTGAAATAAATTTAATAAATCAAAATTAAATGATTTAAAATAGCATTAAACAAAATAAAACACAATAAAATTAAATTAAATAAAGCATAATAAAGTGAAACTCCTTTTTAGCTTTTCAAAATAAAATACTTAGCATAAAAGCACATTTTCTGTAAGCAGCTGGTTACTGACACAAAAAACCCTAAGGAAATAACATCTATAAAAAAAAAATTATTTTATAATTTCTTTCACTATACTGCTCGATTACTATCTATGTATGTAGCATTCATAACTAACTAGTTTGAGGTAAAACAAAAAGACTGCTTTTGGCTATTTAAATGTAATAGGTATCTTCCCTGCTTTCTGCTTGTGTCAGCAATCAGCTATGGGCGAGGAAGCTACATTAAAGCGTGTATAGACAGAAGTGCATGCATTTGTATGTATGTTAGGTATGTACAACCTATAAATCAATCAATCAATCAATCGTAACATAGAAACATAGAAACACGCTCATACACATCGTCTACCTTTTATCAAGCATCGATTCATACAGCTAGCAATATACATATATACAAACATTTGCCGGCAGGTTCTGCAATTCAATTCCGACTTAATTTTAGCCCCATTCAATGTGACTTTGGTTGAAATTCACTCGGAAGTGAATTGCAGAACTTGCCTGATATATACCTAAAGTTATAGTATTAGTTTTAAAATTACTATTAAAATTAAATGTATATTAATATTAAATATAAAAATGTAGACGTATGTAATAATAAAAAGAAAATATTTTTAGCACATATTTTTGTATTGTATAAAATTAATTTTTTTTTTCGTTATTTACTACATACATACATACATACTATATAAAAATTATGACATTAATAATTTCAAATTTGAAATCTTAAACATAAGCAAATTAAATACATAAATAATACTACAATAAAAGAAAACATAAAATTGAAAATTTTGCAGTATATGGTAGCTGGAAATAATGTACATGTGCAATAAATAAAAAGGAAAATATTACGAAAAATTGGCGATGTTTTTGAATTGGTGATTTTTAATTTGTTTAGTACTTTCTCAAACTTTGTACATGTTTGAAGTATCGTTAGTACGTTTTTATAAATTTTTATATAGGTATACTTATGGTGACCATATTTATGGCAGCCGCATACGGTAAACAATTTATTTTGCAAATTTTCTCCACAAACGCTAACAGATCTTAAAACCGACTACTTGTGACGCACGAGTGGTATTAAACGCATTATTCGATACATGTAAATTAGAAAAACATTTTTTCTAACATCGGTCGCCCTTAGGCAGGCAATGGCATACCTCCGAGTGTATTTCAGCCTTAAAAAAGCTTCTCATAAAACTATTTGCCGTTCGGAGGCAGCGTAAAATTGTAGGTCCCTGCATTTATGTTATAACATCAGGACGCACACCACAAATTGGAGGAGCAGGTCAGCGAAAGTATTATAATTTTTTATAAGGCGTCGAAATACCGAACACTGAATACGGGATACATGCAGAATATTGGCGTCGCTTATAAAATAAATAAATTACAAGGAAAATTGACGAAAAAAGAGGACTGTCCCGTACAACACATGACGGATGGTCACCGTAGGTGGAAACATTGCGCTCAAAAGTAAAGCGAGATGTATTTGCTGTAATAAAAGAGTGAGTCTGAAATACTTGAGTGTGTAGCATTTAAAATTCTGGTCGATAGGATAGGTTAGGCTAGGTTAGCTGGCTAGTCAATGCGTGGCTAATAAACTAAGACCACATTAGACAGCTAATGGGCAGTTGTAACGAAGAACAACGCAGTCCTTTTGTGAAACTGAAACACCTTGTTTTACTCTATTTTGGTGGCGGCTCCAGATTAGGCAGAGATCCTGCTCCTAGGAGGCAATCTGCTAATGACAGTGTCATCGCAGGAGATTTTCCGCCGCTATCTCTTTCGTTCTGTATTTCCAACGGTCTTTATAATTGATCGAAGCCAGTTTAAAAGGGCGCCAGCAGGCAATGCCTTGCGTCTTTCGTTCTGTATTTCCAACGGTCTTTATAATTGATCGGAGCCAGTTTAAAAGGGCGCCAGCAGGCAATGCCTTGCGTCAAACCCTACGCCTAGCGTCAAACCCTCTGTACATACTCCTGGGCATTATCTAAGCTTGTGCTTTGGTCCAGATATTCAGCGCTTTCCAGATCATGAACGGATTAAGCTGCCGTTTAATCGCTTCGCGGAAGGCGGCACTTTCACTATCAGCAGGCGACAGAGCGCCTTCTTTGGCAAACCTGTCGGCCTCCTCGTTGCCCGTGACACCGGTACGCCCCGGAACCCAGTAGAGATGTACGTCTGTACCATTATGTAACAAATCCAAAGCCGCCCTGTACTTGGCCACTCTTCTAGAGGAAATTCTGTACTATAGTATTGCCTTTAACGCAGACAGGTTGCTGCTAAGTAGCTTTATGGCCAATATTTCTGGTAGAAAAATATTGCGGTAGACTGCTGCTCCTGGGTCTTTCTCCACGTTCGGCCCGACTGTATAAGTAGACATTCACCGAGCCAGCGATCCTCAAGTCCGCACGCGAGTCTTCAGCCTCTAAAGAAACTTCGAAGTTCGTCCCAAACTGCAGATCCGAGATCATTAAGTCAATCCGCCCGACTAAAGTTGACGCTATGCTACGATGTCCGTAGCACCTGCATACAAACTACCCCGTAGTCTTGAGCCTAACGGCATTTCGGACGTTCGGACGGGGAGACACTTCACTGCACCTCCTCCTGGAATGTGGGACCGTTTCACGGAGAAGGGAGAAGAGCATGCGACATCTATGGATCACTCTCTACCCTCGGGATCTATTCTGAAATTGATGGAGTCTTTAGGGCTAAATGTAGTGCTGTGATGAGCTGAGGGCACAATAGACCTACTTGTGGCAGTGTTAATTCTATTTAAACCTATATATCTCTTTATCGGAAAACTGGAAGTCGTAGAACGCCGTCGTAATCCGAAAACGGATGTTTGTGGCACACCAGCGGATATATTATATTTTATGGCTTGTGTTTGGTAAATTAATATCCGGTCCGTCAGATACCTACATAGTTACTTATAATCTTCAGAAGGTTAGCTGGAAGTTGAAACTTCTGAAGGACATGGAGTACTTTTTCCCAGTTTGCAGTATTAAATGCACTCTTTACGTCCAGAATTATAAGCAAGCAGTACTTGTTCGATCCACCCTTCCGTCGCTTCCTGCAGATCACCTCTTCTGCCAACTGGTTAACTAGCATGGCGGCTTCCACTGTGGAGTTGCACTCAATGGCGAATGCTTTGATTTGGGTTGTATTTAAATATTAGAAAAGGAGTTTTTCAAAAAAAATATTATTTTTGAACAAAGTAATAATATCAACTTTTAAAAGTAAAAAAAAAAATACTAAATTGTCTTATATATGTATGTGTTTTGCTATTTTAAGCTTCTTTTTCTCGAATATTTTTTGTAGTAAAAAACTTAATAACTGAAAATCTTTTTAGAATTTTTTGAAAACTAATTCTTTCTAAACAAATTTCACGTCAAAAATAAATAAAGATTTAATAGTATTAAAAGAAATTAGGCTTTCATAGAACATACATAAATAAATAGAGCAAAGATTAAAAGGCAGTTTTGCCTCCGTACAAAATTAAAATAATTAATATTTTGTATTAGATTTAATTTAACATTTTGCATATTTAATTTTTCTATTCATGAGTTCCCGTAATTAATAAGTTTTTCAGTAATTTAATAAAGTTGGCCTCACTAAGCTTTTTTATAACCTCTTTGTAAAGTCCAAGATATTTAAACAAAACATATTCCTGGAAACTGCATACTTTTTTGATAAACTCGAAAACTAATCTTCGCTAAAACGGATTTACACATTTTTAAGAAAAAGTGTTATAATTCAAAATGAGATGGGGCAAAACAAGAGAAAAGAATTTTTTTCCTTTTTTGCGGTGAAAAGCAATCTGAATAAACTATCTATAAGTTGTTAAAGGTTAAATTACCAAGTGAAGTACTCATCAAATGCAATTTAATGAGTAGGATTTTGTATTCGTATAAAATTTAAATATGTATACATAGATTTAAACGAAACAGAAAAACTTGAATTAACGTAATGTGTGTAATAATGTATGGGTATATTTACATTAAATAAACATGAAAGTAGAAACTATAAATAGAACTCCAACAGGTCTGGTTTTAATTTTTGCTAAACTTTATTTTCATTTACATACTATATTTTATCAATGTGTTTATTTCACCTAAACTGTTAATAAAATAAATACGAGTAATATAAGTAGTGAGCCTTCCTCCGCAATGGCAACGGCCAACAATTTAGTTAAACAATCATTCTGAACATACACGTAAAATAGCTGTCAAATTAGTACAACTTCGGTTGACCCATTCCAACCCTTTCATTCAGCGACTGCAGATCGAGCACTCTTTTCGCTTTTTTTCGGTGAGTCATCTTCTACACCAAGTCCCTCGAGCATAGCCAAAAGTTCGGCATCGGTTATTTTAGCCGTTGGTTTGGGTTGGGCGATAGGTGTAGCTTTTGCTACCTTCTCGTTGCTGTTCGCATCAGTATTTGTTTGTCTGACAGGCGTTTGTCCCGTTTGTCCAAGTATTTGCTGTAATTCGCGCTCCAATGCATCGTTGTCATTCAAATCAGCGCTTCCTGCTCCTATATCGGTAAGATTAGCATTGGCCAACGTGTCTTGTATTTCTTGATGCGTCTCCATGGTATCGCGTACATCAGCGATAATTTCATCGACGTTATCGTATTTGAGTCCAGAGTCGTTGAGCGCTTTCTGCAACGCTTTTGAACCGATCTTGTAGGCATCGAGTATTTGGCCATGGCTTTGTGCTTCGTCTACGCTGGTGATGAGCGATTCAATGTTGTGTAGTGCAGAGCTACGTTTTTCTGAAAGAAATACATTTGTTTAGTTTTAAATATTGTAGTGTTTTTAATTGAACTCACCGTGATTTTTCTCCATCAAGTGCTTTTTACGCAAATAAGTCTTTGCCAATTGGCGTTTGTTCTCCTTTAGGTATGCGCGCGCTTTCTCCTCGTTTACCTTGATATCTTCTTCCAAAGTTTCCAGCTGTTTTAGCAAACTTGCTTGCGTCATTTTCAGGTTGTGAACAGCACGATCAGTCTGGGTGATGGCAATACTTGCATCATTTTGGGCTGTAAATGGTTTAATTATAATAACGTTCATTTATTATTTCATGATAAACTCACAAGGTATTTTGATTAGATGTATTTTTTGTTCTTTTTCCTCCACCTTGTACTCCAGTCCAATTTTTCGTTGGCAATTCAGCACGTGCAAGCACAAAAGTAAACAGTCTTCTTTGAGCGCCAATACAGCGTTCGAAATTTCCACGAAATTATCGTAGTGTAGCAACTCACCCTGGTGCTGTTGCAGCACACTTTGTTGTAGTAGTTTGCAGAATTTCTAAGAAGGAAAATATAAAATAATACTCTGACCGCTATATGGTAGCGTCTCGCCTACCTTCATCACCTCCAAATGCACATACTCAAGTAGTCCTGCGTCAATTTGAGCTTGCAGTCCCATTTTACTTTTCAATGTCTGCCAGCCCCATGAAATAGGGCGTTTAAAAAAACTATTCATCGCCCAACCACTCCAGGTATTCTCCGGGTCATATGCATAATCGGCACGGATGCGTATTTTCTTGGCCTGCAACATTTCTGTCATC